AATTCGTTATTCTAATCGTAAGAACCTCATATGAATTTATTCGGCACCTCTTGCTAATGTAAACTTTCTCAAGTGTTTTGAGCGATAAGATCGTCTCGAATATTTAATTCTGGTACGGAAAGTTCCAGCAATATGCCTTAAGGTACGATGCCATGCATCAATTATTTTATTATTAGTTTATTAAAATATTGAAATATTGAATAAATAAAAATATCAAAAATTAGTGATGCATGGCACCATGCCTTAAAAAAATGCTGGTACTTCCCGTACCTTAATTGCAAATATTTGAAGCTCGAGAAATTTTAAATATTTGAAGCTTTAATGCAAATTGAAATCCGAGTAATTTTAGAAATTTAAAAAAATGAAAATAAAAAAAATTGAAATTTTGAAATAATTTTTTTTTGTCTTCCCCAGAAACTAAACAATTCTTCACGCTGCCACCAAAAGCAAAATGTTTTCTGAATCACTCGTTCCCCTTACACCTGTTAATTTTTGCACTTTTTGCTTCGTATCTCCAAAACAGCTGGACCTGTCTTTACCAAAAACTAATAAGCACGTCTTCCTATCAATAGGAATCGAATGTTCTTTGAATCATTCAAATCGGTTGATCCGTGCTCCCGAAAACGTGGATGAAAAATTGTATCCACACATACAAATACACACACACATACACCAAGCCATTTTTTCTAAGGTATGTCAAAATGTTCAGAAACCTCTGAAATGTAAAAATGTTCATTCACGATTTTTGGACGTTTACTATAACTTACCCTAAAAAAGTTAAGAGATGTTTTTTTCCTGAACAATGACAAATGAATAAACAAATTATCAATAAACCATTCTGTAAATGATCTGATTTGTAAACACAAATCATTCTATTTACACTCATGTCATTAATCTACTTTCATTCCGATGACGTAAAATCAATTCGAATCAATTCGATTTGCTCGAATTAATTAACCGGAAACTTTGCCTTATATTTTTTTCTAAATCGTCGATCGAGAATTATATAGAATCGAGTCTTGTGTGCCTTTGAATACGAGGCTTTCTAAATAATTTCCACTGCCTACGCTGCTGGGTATGGAT